TGGTCATCAACCACTGTGACATGCCCACAACGTAGTTCTGTGCGGTCGAGTACAACAACGGATTGTCTCATACACAGCTGCACTGTTGAGCAAATCTCAATTGTTTAACAAGCACGTGTATATTTGTAGCACTGAAAGGACTTAAGATCTTCTCTATCCTTCTGGCCTGTATTTGAAGGTGTGGTTGCTGTTGTCCAGGTGTGGCAATAGGGGAATACGTGTTCAGCGTTTGGGCTCAGAAGCCCAATAAATTGGTCATCTACATAAGTAGAGTTCATATAAGTGCCATCTCCTTCGTTCTGGGCGGCTTTTCGGTCTCTTCCTTTTCTGCTTTGCTTTCTTCTTGGATTCCTGGTGTGCTGTGGCTGTGCCTTCCTCGTGTAGTGTGGCCTTGCGTTGCAATGCATGTGGTGTTCTAGTGGGGGTCTCTTTCTCTTGGGCTGCATGGTCTGCTAGCAAACTTTCTTTGCTGATAAGGTTATAAAAATATAGGAGAACTATTATTACAATGAATTCAACATGGATGGGTGAGGGTTGTGGTTAATAGTTAGGTTGTTCATGATTCTGTCGAGCTTTTGTTGTGCGACAGCGCTGTCTAGGCACCTTACTCTGGCTAGGGACTTCGGGAGATTATTAATGTGCAAAATATGTTTTCGCAGCAATTTGACATCTGTTTAAAAGTCCGGAGTCGGCTCTATGAAAGTCCTTCAGTTAACTCTATGTAAGAGTATTGTTGAAACAACAAATGTGAAAAATTGTGTGTTTTGGCAGAGCATGCCGGTGTGATGAGTAGTCATATGTAGTGCTAATAACTGCTAGTTCCAAACCATCTGGTATTATAATTTTGTTTCCTCATAGTTTGACATTATAACTGAATCGTTGTCTTACAAAAGGTCACGTTTGCATGGTTTCATGTGGGGAAGTTGGAGGTGCATTATAGATACAATGTAACCGTTTCCTAAAATTTGAGTGTGTAAGCACAACTATTAGCTTATTGGGTTTATTAACAATTGACACATCCCTGGAAAAGCTTAATTGTTATTTATTACATGATGTGGACACATGCTCGATGAAACTTACTGAAAATTTCTGACAAAACATTGTAGTGGCCATCTTGGAGTATTTGTAGTCTCCTGTGATTAGTTGAGAGTGTTACCCAAGCCAGGTTCCTACCGCTATAGCACTGATGTGTCATCTGATCTCATTTGTGCTGGTATAGGGGCTCATCTAAAGTGCCGAAAGCTTGGCATGGCCTAATTTGCCACTAGCTTAGGCGTCTCATAGCAGCATAGCCTTTGAACTAGGGGATGTGTTCACTATCAGGTGTAATGGGCGCCGCATATTCCAGTCGAGTCACGTTGGTGGTACGGCTGACGGAAAGGAGGAGGCACTAGAGGATCTACAGGGGACAGACAGAGTGTGGTGAAGGGCCGTTCGGGTTTAGAGATCTTGGACTCAAATATCAAGTGAGAGCAAGTCGTTTTGCTGCCAAGTAGGTGTTAGATGAATGAACATTGGGTTTAGGTTCTGTGTGTATGTCGGAACGTGTGTTTAGAGCCAGCATGGAGCAGGCCACAGTGATGTCAGCCAGGCTGATTCTCTCTCCCACACAGGAAGTACGATGTGTCAGGTGTCTGCATTCGATGCAAGGCCCTCTTTATGTTCTTCTTGGCCTGTTCTGTGGGCCTGGCAGTTCATGAGAGAAGAATTACTATGCGAGGATTAGACAATATATAAAATCTTCTACATGGCATGTGCCAAGTCTCAACTACTAGGGAGTGCGCAGCTGTGGCCACTGAAACTGCTCACTAATCCTTCCCAACAGCACAAATCACACTTAAAGTCTTTAGCTGACAAAAAAAAAATGCTGTCTGCAAACTGCTTGTTGAAACGCAAATAATTCCCAGAGTGGTGGAAGACCCATCGCTGGCTGGAGGGATGGATCTCTGGAGTCAGCGAAGCTCACCCACTGCAGCACCTGGGCTGCGGCCAGGGGAGTGGCCCCACGCAGGGGATCATTGCTCACTTAGTTGAAAGATGGAAAATGTTTAAGAAATCCTGGCAAATCTCTTAGAGTCATGACCATTTCATACCTATTCTATATTATGTTGCTGCTAAAAACACAGCTAAACACAGCCAAAGCCCCCCCCCGCCCCCCGCCCCCCCCCCCCGCCAAAAGGGGAGTCCAGATGCTGGAGGGTGGAGGTCTGTAGTCACTGAGTCCTGGGCTCCTTGCTTTGGTGCCCATTTGTTAATTTCTGCCTCCTCCGCTGCCATTGGCTTGAAGATGGCTGTACTTTCGTAACATATGCTCAAACCTAATATATGTAGATTCACTTTCCAGTCAGCACAATAATAATAACTGCACATAATTAAGACTTGCAGCCACTCACTTGCCAGTGCAGGTACCCTCCACTTCTGTGAACAGCTTCTGCTTCACGGTGTTGAGGAGGTTAGGGCCAAAATACCGTGGGTGTAGAAGGATTTCATGCTCCAAAGAAATCTGCAAACACAAACAGTACGTGCATTACAAGACTACAGTGAAA